CCATTTGTACTTCTTGCCACTGTTGTTGACTTTCCTGTAGTTGCTACTGACTTTCCTGCAACTGTTGGAGACTTCCTTCCTATTTCTTTTCTCATTCTTCTTGTTCCATTTGACACTGGTTGTGGTTTTCTTGCCACTACTGTTGTCTCTCTTCTTGTTTATTTTCTCGTTCTTCTTGTTTCTTTTGCTTGTATTGGTGCCATCAAATCTGCTAAGTCGTAGTTTGATTTGCCACTTCTCGTTTCCATTCCTTCTTTTTCTGTCCCACTCTCTGACACCAATTTGTTACGTATATGCTTGTTTGTTAATTTCTGGTAGAAATTCTTTCCGAGGAACTTCAGCAATACAAGTCCTTTTTTGATTAAACCAGTTTTTCTTTCTCGTCACTTTAAACTTAACAACTTCTATAATACACGCTATAAATCACAACGATTCACAATCTCGATAACAAAACACACACTAGCTCGAAACAGAATCGTAAATTACCCGAAACTCTCTTCATTCAATCGCGCAGGCTTTCTCTGCCAGGTTTATATACTAAAAAAAAAAAAAAAAAGGACGTCTCGAATTAACTCTGTCTTCCCCGGTAATTCATAGTCATTTGAGAAATTAATCTCGTGTTACCAGGGTCACATGACTTCCGCTGTCGCAACATCACATTATTCTAGTCTAAAATGGTGACATTAACACAAGGTCCTGAAGATGGTGGTGTAGAACAATGAAGCATGCAACAGTTTTTAGGGCAGGTCCCTGTTTTTAATAAATTATTTATTGTGCAGATATTTTATTGTTGAACTCTTTTAAAGAAAGTATATATATCTATATATATGCACAAGCGCCGTTTTAATTTAAATGAGATATGTTTAAAAATTACTGATGTAGACAAAATACATTTAGGCTGTTTAGATTAAATTATAGCTAATTACTATACAGTGAAACATAACATTCTTAGTGTGCAAGAATTGAATATACTATTGATCACAATACTTTATATCATAATTGGTTAATTATTCGTTAAATATTATGCATAGAAAAGTTTAGGAATGAATGTTTGAAGCTTACCTTTTTTTATGTGAAAGTAATGTATATTAAGTTCTGAGAAGAAACGTCTATAAAATATCCCGATCATCATAGCATATTACTCACTATCAGTCATTTACGAAATTAGAAATAAAAAGAAGTTTTAAAATATGAGATAAACCTCTCGAGTAAAATAAGCCTTCCAAAAGTAGAAGTCGTCAACATATATACAGTTAAATCATAAAAATATTGCCAAATAAAAAAGAAACACCTAAAAACACACGTTTAAATGAATGAACAGGAGTGAAAACACTAATATCAAAGTATTTTATTTTATTGTGCTAATTGTAATTAGTGCCCTTTTCGAATATTTACTTTACCTTTGTATTTACATATGACCTTTTGCTGCACATTTAGGATACTGTAAAATTATTTACAATCTTTATTGAACTTGTACTTTTATGTTTCTACGTATCAGTAGTCAGTTGGGATTTTGATTAATTTGGGTTTTGTGATCCAGAATCAAAAAGAGGTTCCTGACCTAAAATTGCGTGGACAATACAAAATATTTATAGTCATACATTACATTTATTGACATCACAGCACACTGTGTAGTTTAACTACAAACAAATAAACATTTATTGATAAAGATATTTCAATAACTTTGTTAATTACCAGATGACAGTTTTCTTAGAAGTAGTAATGGCTGGAGATGGCTTGAATGGGTAATGAAGAAAAACTTTAATATAAGTTTAACATAACAGCAAATATACAAACATACAACGTTTCGACAAGGTTTTGTCATCTGATTACCCATTCAAGCCGTCTCCAGCTATTATTAGTCTAAAAGTGGGTTCCTCGTCATCGAATTTGAATTCTTAGAAGTAAGTTTGGTAGGAAAATTTTTATTGCAAATTAAGAGTAAATAATCTTGTTTAAATTATATTTTGAAACTGTCGTTGATTCTGAATCTGATTAGTATTAATAACAGATGATCTCACTTTTTTAATTTTCAAAACTAAAACGATATTTTTAAAGTAGTAGCAAATGTTTAATATCTAAAACGAGAAAAAAATATAAACTTTTATTTTCGCTACAATCTAGATGATTAGGTTTGATCTGATTATCATATGGGTTATCCGTTTTTGACATTAAACTCAGTATTAGAGTTAAGAGATTATGCATAAATAATAATTTAACCCTTATTCAAAGATAATTTTAAATATACAACAGATTCTGCTGACTTATATAGTATGATGAGAACCATTTAATTCTAAATGAAAAATCTATCATGAATAATAGGGATTAAAAATGGTGTGTGTGTACAAAAATGTGATAACGTTCATAATGTAAATACTTTTTCGTCTTGAAAATGTGCATAAAATATGAATAATCTACGTAAAAAACTGAACAAACCTCAAAATATACGAATTTGATTCCATGTGAATTCTATTGTTGCAAAGAGATCACATAAAAAATATAGCACAATTTTAATGTTAATTCAATATTTTCAATGGTTTCCAAATGCGTTTTTAATTTGGCCATTTTATGGTCTCTGATATGTTTCACTTCAGTAACAATCATGGTTTCTGATCATGTTGTAATTCAGTTAATAGTCATGGTTTATGAAATGTTTTATATTCAATGACATTCCAAATATCTGACAAGTAGGTCTAGCTTATTCATAGTCAATGTTTCTGTACTTCCGATCTAAGATTACTAATGTCTATACTATGATATATTTCTCAGTTTCTGTCGTTATTTTAAGTTGAAGAACTCTAATATAATTATAAAGTTATGGGTAAATTTCTAAAACTTTGGTAATGACCACTTCTGGCTATTAGTATCGCAAACCGGAAATTCTTCAACGAAAGGCGATATTGTTTAACAGTGTTTATATATATAATATGCTTCCCAGTGACTAAGGAGTAAGCCTGTAGGCTTTCGACGCTCAAAATTGGGTTTCGATACTCGCAGTGGGCAGAGCACATATAACCCATTGAGTAGCTTTGTGCTTCACAATAACCAAATCAAACTAGTTTTTTTGATATATACATATACTTGAAATTGGAGGTTTTTGGACTGAACATTGAAAGTGTCATTGATTTCATCCTTTAAAGCTTCCGAAAGAAAATAAGACAACTAATGTCAGTAAATGTTTGCCCAAGTAAGTCTTCCTAGGAAGTTTACAATTGGATAAGAGGACTCTCTTTTATTTTTCGATTTCTTGGATTCGTCATAACTCATTTGATCAAGCAGAAGTAGATGTTCCCTTCTTTCACGCAGCTTTTCAACCCAACAGCCTGTAAGGTTAAAATGTATGTTTTAATTTCCATGATTATAAAGATCTTATGGTATTCTTATTGATGTTATTGGATAGTATTATTTTTAAATTTCAAAGCATCAAAATATCATCTTATACAATTTCATAATAAATATAAACGACTTTATCAGTGATGAATAATAAAGTGGAATATATACTGCAGAAATAGGATCCAGTTGCTTATTGGATGGGTTAGAAAATGAGAAAATATCAACCATTAATATTTCTGAAGAATGATCAAACATACAAAAACACCTATTTTTAATTTTGTAATATCTAAAGGAATAAAAGGTCTAACAAGTGAGAGAAACATTTGGATAACTATTGACTTTCGATAAAAGTGTGTCCGAATAAAATGTTATATATAAACTTATGTACTCGCGAAAAAATGGTCAATGTGTGAAAAAGTGATAGTGTTTGTATACACGAAACAATGAAGGAAGGAGCTTGTAGTATTTAATTGAATTTAAGAAGAAAAAAAAGCCACAAAGTAATATCAAAACGTTAGATATTTATGACATTACCAGCAAGTTCCTGGACAGTGATCTGGCCGCCATATTCCTTTGGAAGTATTGTTGCAGGAAAGTGCATTTGAAGAGATTCTACGTTCCAGTGGACAACCATCTACATACAGAGTAATCGTCTTTATAAAACAAATATTGATTCACAACTAAACTAAACGTGGTTGTATAACTTATATTAAATTTTGGATACTTATCTGATGAATAGAACCTATAATTTTCAATACTGGACACAGAATATTCCTCTCAAAAGAACAAGTAACGTTAATAAAATAAATACACATTTGGGTTAGTTCTCGATGTCCTTAGTTTTATTCAAAGGTATAGTGTGATTATGAAAATTATTAAGAAGTGCATTACTAGCATTATTAGCAGTTAACATTTTAATTCAGTTGGTACAGCATCCCCTGCAGTTAGGGAAGTCTCATTTTCGCATTCGAATTGAAGAAATATCAATATAATTTAATTACAACGATAACAACATTTCTTGTACACGTTTTGTTTTTCAAGTCATTTTTATTAGTATGAAAATCATTTGCATATCATTGCTAAGAATAATTATGCTGCATGTATCTCTACGACTTTATGAATAATATAAAAATCAAACTTTAATATAGCATTCTATTATTCGAAGGTTTAAGCGTAGATCATGTTAAATGTACGAAAGTGATAAACATCATTTTTGAAAAACAACAACTAAATTTTACTCAAATACAAAAATTCACCTGGTTAAAAACAGTACTAATGACGTGAAGTTTACTTTTCATCTGTGTTGTTAATGGCATACTAAATAATGTCTATGAATGTATTAAATGTTTAATTGATTGTTACTCTATCTATAGAGTATAGATGCCAGCTGTTGATTTATCTCTCTCTTTAATAAGAATGTCAACATTTCTCTCAAATCCAAATGCTCAACCTTAATATGAATGTTGGTAAATATAGCATCAATCTAGCATATAAATCATTGTTGATTGTTGATATATATTAATTAATTATCAATATTTATTCGTTTCGTTAAGATACACAAAGTGTGTACTAAATTTCATTTTATTAATAATTATTACAATAAGTTAATTAAGAAAATTATATCGTTACTTTTCACATCTATGTTGCTTTTTAAAATAAAGAAGTTACAGTTTGAAAATAATGAAAACTGCTTCCTAATGGACACTCTTGATCCACTATACTATTCCACGCTTCACAATTCTTTTACATAATGTTGGAAAAGTATTCATTCATTGATGGGTAGGAAATACCCATATACAAAAGCCAAAGAATGTAACATACCCTTTTCTGAATTTTTTTACTGAGTAGGCTCTTGAAGAGTTCGTAGATAAAAAGAAGGTATGTTGGCATGTTAAACCAGTGGATCTTTTTATGATGCATCGGCATTGCTTTCTGAAACGCATAAATAACATATTTCAATTTGATGTATGCCTACATACACACATGTCAACGATATTTAGCTGATTATTTTATGGAATATGCATCAGATCTAGAACATAAATATGATAAAAACGTATCTATTAAGAAAACATGACCCCTTTTTTTCTTTGATACTAATTTTAAGTTTTTTTATTATAATTTAACTTCATTGTGATATCAGTGTATTTTCTATGGCAAGATAAGGCAAATTTTGATCATAGAACAACATACATCAAGATAAAATTCACCAAATAACCCTAATTATTTTTATACTATCGATAAAATTCGATTTTATAGCTTAAACTACTTGTTATTTGAAAACTTGAACACATTTATTTTATGGATTATGTAAATTTAACGTTCATGTCGGCACCGAAAGAAAAGACTGGTAGGTCATGGTATCACCTTGCTTTCAATAATATTCGTACGGTGATCACAAATGAAATGATATGATTGAGACTTAGATGCTTCTAAAAATTGCATACCTTCCCTGAACTGAGGGTGTATGAATATTATCTTCAGTTTTAAACCACAAGTTGCTGAAAGTTTTGAAAAGTTTAGTATCACTTTACTACATCAGATGACATTATCAACTTGTCCACTCGATAATCTCATGTTCACTTGAAGAATTAAATAAATAGATGAAGCCGATCAGATTTTTGAGTGTGGACCGGCTTTACCTTTACAAACCTTCTGGTTTTTCTACCGACAAAACGTCGTTGTTGCAGTGAAGACCCATATTAAACTCCAGCTTGCTACTCTGAAATGAATCGTCAATTTTGAAATGAAATTTAATTTTCCTATATTATATTATGATACTACACATTTTCGATAAAATTCCACGCCTTTTTTTATGTACCTTTTCATCCCATATGATCAGTACTAAGAATTTTGTGAGTACAATACATGCGAGAACTTTTATTAGAACCCATTTTTTTTACCATTTGAAAAATAAAATTCAGTTTTCTAGGAAAACGTGGCGGACTAGAAAAACTGCTTAAGAGACACAATTTCATGACCTGTTTTATCTACATTCCAAATTTGGAGGAAGAATTCCGAGGTTTATATGGCAATGAGATACCTCGTTTGTTCTTGCCTATTTCCGGTATTCATAGCGTCATGCACAATACGAACGGACAACGTACTTCTAACAACATGACAAATTGTGTCACAATATTATTACTACACATGAACATGTAAATACATATCTCAAACGTACTGGGTATATTCTATGGCATAGCACAGCAAGCTACTGACCTTCTTCTATGGCTATGAAACAGGGTATGCTTATATGAGTAGGTCTTAAATGTCTCTTGAAGTTTACATAACTCCAAGCATAATATTTTCCCTAACAACTTCTCCTTAGTAACTAACCACTTTAAAAACTAACAAGCAATAGGTAAACGCCTTCACTACGATAAAGGCTACATTTGAAGGAACAACCGAGTTTCTCTGTGCTGCCCTCATGCAGCAGTAGAACCGAGGTATTTCATTCATTGCATCGAGACAGACAGAGTGACAGAGAAAATAGCTGTTTGGACCTGAAATAGTTTGTTTTGTTTACGGCAAAGCTACTAAAGTTATCTGCCACCGTGCCGAATTTTGAACTGCTGACCAGAGAGAGCACTCACCGCTAACTCTTGGGATACTCTGACCAATGGCTAGTGGGATTGATCATCACATTATAACGCTCTCATGACTGGAAGGACGAGCATATTCATCTCCGTGTTTCGATTCAGCGATCCGAAGATTGCGTGTCCAGCGCCCTACCTACCTGGCCATCTTGAATAAAATACTTTTTTTCTGAACTGAAGTATCAATATGCTTTAATGTTGATTAACACAATACTTTTTAAAGTTAATGTTTCGCCCGACTTGGCCAGGTGGTTAAGGCACTCGACTCGTAATCTGAGGGTCGCGGGTTCGAATCCCTGTCACACCAAACATGCTCGCCCTTTCAGCCATGGGGGCGTTATAATGTGACGGTCAATCCCACTATTCGTTGGTAAAAGAGTAGTCCAAGAGTTGGCGGTGGGTGGTGATGACTAGCTGCCTTCCCTCTAGTCTTACACTGCTAAATTAGGGAGGGCTAGCGCAGATAGCCCTCGTGTAGCTTTGCGCGACATTCAAAAACAAAACAAAGTTCATGTTTATTAAAAACTGACACCCATAACTTTCACTTAGGTAAAACATAACAAAAACTTACAAGCCGCATTAAAAACTGCATTTTACCGAAGTTGACAACTTTTAGCAAATGTATAACATACTTCTCCTGCTGATAAAAGTCGTTGGGTTTCCTTTAAGCCAACAAATGTAAAGTGGCCTAAGGAGAAGTCAGTCTGGTCAAATATGTAAGTAAACCCTTTTCTTTGATTCTCCTCATCTTCTAGAAGCGTTTCAAATGTTATCGTAAATGCTCTGAAGAGGTCTCTTGGAGAATGACGTTTTGGATCAAGCTTTCCTGTTGAAAAGTAAAGGTTAGTTAAAATAGTTCAAAGTACGTAATATCTAAAACATACACAAACAATCCAAAGGTTATAGCATTTTATATATGGTTGTAATATGCAAGTAAACTAGGTTGTCGTGTATATAAGTGTATGTATGTATGTTTAAAGTATAACTTTGGTCAAAGAAGTGACTATGTACCTTTCGCTCCAGTTACCTGTTGTTCACAGTAATTCCCTATGGTATTACAGGCACTTTGTGGTGGGAAAGATTGCTGTAAAGTAGAACACGTTGTGTTGAAGCAGATAGCGATCTGCTTTTCATGCGCACACTCATAGTTTTACTTGGGCTTTGTACTAAATATTGTTTCATTCTGTCTTACGTTGTATTTAGCCTCTTTCCTAACTATAAACAAAGTCAAATCTAAAAGAATTCAGTTTAACTCAGCGATACATTTTCTGTTCCATCCCCCTGTTCAACCTGAGAATACATCACAGTCATAAGAGATAATCTGAAATTGTTGAAACATTCAAGTAGTTCAGTTATTATTCTTTTGTAAATACTAAAAATAAGGTAAAAGAATATCACTTGCTTGAGATTTGAGTGTCAGTTCTTTTACGTTTTTAAAAGACAATTCCAAAATCAAAATGTAGTATGGTATTTTTCAAGATACTTAGTGTAACTTTCTAATATGATGGATTTACAATCACAATAAATACATAAAATAAATACAATCAATTTAAATGAAGTGTCAGTTTATAGCGGATTTGTTTTTAAAATAATTAATATAAAATTAGAATCCTGGTTAACAAAATATTTAACTCACCTGCAATACTGAAGATTATAGTGCGGCCATCTTTGTCTTTTTCCGGAAGTGGAAATACGAAACTGCAACAACAAAAATTCAAAAACTTTCGGGTAAAAAACACCTATGATTATTAGAACGTGGGTAGTTTACTTAAAATTCTGTTAATTACATAGATGTTATAAGACAACAGTTTGAGAATGTCCTGTCTAGGACAAGAAAACCTAAAAGTTTTGAAAATATAAAATACTGTTACGACAGCGGAAGTCGCGTGACTCTGGGAGCATATGCACTGGAGTTTCTCGAATTATCGAGGAACCGCGCGAATGTCCGAGTGCTTGCTGGACGCCCTCTTTTTTTAGTATATAAGCCTGGCGAGAAAAACCAGCAGGATTGATGAGATAGATAGGCACGGTAAGTAAAGTGTGTGAATCACTTTGATTTATAACGTGTGTTATAACGGTTGTTAAGTTTAAAGTGGCAGTGGAAATTATGTGTATTACTAACATTTGTATCGAGAAAGAATAAACTGGTTCAGTCAATAAAGGACTTGTATCACTGAAGTTCCTCGGAAATAATTTCTACTGGAAATGAACAAAGAAGCAGAAATGTAACAAATTGGTGTCAGGAGTGGGATGGAAAAGAAAACAGAAGGTGGAAACGAGAAGTGGCAAATCAAACTACAGCTTAGAAGATTTGATAGCAGCAATACAAGAATGGCAATAGAAACAAGAAGAACAAGAAAAGAAACAAGAAGAGAGATTACAGCAGTTATCGGAGGAAAAAGAAAAGAAACAAGAAGAACGAGCAAAGAAAAAAGAAAAAAGTACTCCAACAGTTGAGAGAAAGCCAGCATACACAAATAGAAAAGATTAGTAAGTTTCAAAGTGAAGTAAATACATTAAAGGACGACTTAATGTCTTTTACACAGAGAGGATATATTAGCCATGGACCTAATCAGCCCCAGACAACAGGAAGCCTCTTCCAGACCCTGCAGCTAAACCCTAAAGCAGACATCTTCCGTCCTGCCAAAAGTCACATTCCAGACATGAGTGTTAGCAGGTGGTGACAGGCACAACTATAGAGTGCTGGTAACTGCTTTAGAACACAGGTATGGAACTCAAAATCAGTTCTACAGGAAGTCTTCAGGACTAGGCTTAGGACGAGAGTGCTAGAGGGGAGAGCCTGCAAGAGCTGGCACAGGATTTGGAAAGTATGGCACACAAGGCCTATCCGACTGCACCACCCGATGTCCTCAAGCTGTTGCTGAGGGATCAGCCTGTAGATGCCTTGGACAGTCCACAACTGAAGATACAAGTAAAGCAAGCATACCCCTCTACTATGCATGATGCAATGGTCAGAGCTCTTGAATTCGAATCCTACGTCAAGTCCAGCACAGAAGTACCAAGGTTGGTGCAGTCACCAGGATTCATGGCCAGAAAAGGGCAGCTCTCAGAGAAGTTTGAGGGAC